TTAAAACAAACTTCTCATTGACTCGTTTCGTTTCAAGAAAGAACTCTTCTTTATACTAATAAAGGTTTAAATGACGGGGAATAAGCTAGACAAGATACAACAAATACCGGTTACATCGAAACCTTAAAAATAGTGAGATGCTCATCTTTAAATTGATGATGTAATGTCCTATGTATCTAGATGTTTACCATCTCATTCAGCTTTCTATCGCTTTTGTTTTGTTTTGTTTTTTTTTGTCTTTCTTTTTCTTTTTTTTTTTTTTTTTTTTTTTTTTTTTGGGGGGGTCTCCATAGCTGCTGGTTTTCATTTTATCGTATATAGAAGTGAAAGGGCGTAAAGAAAGAGGGACCAAAATTAAATCATATAAAGATTTACTTGCCCAAGACATCCTACGCATGACTGAATACAGTTCTCCTTAAGTAATAGATTAATTTTTACATAGCTTATCAAACACTATTTACATTTGTTGTCCTTATCTTTGTCGCCATATTTATTACAACGTTTCGGTCGTTGTACGCTCCGTCCTTCTTCAGGTGGTTGGAATTTCCTCAAGGACACATGGCACACTGGATAAAGGCGTTAGTTAGATCCAGTGATACGACCCAAAGAGTGTGAGTTCAATACCCGGTTATGGCAGTGGAGAACTTGGAGAGGGGAATTAACAGGAGATAACTGATAACTGACATCCATTAAACATGGCACATGGAACTAGATCAGTTTACCCCAGTGAACGAAATAAGGTGATCAGTTCGACGTTCCAACCACCTGAAGAAGACCGGAGCGTACAACGGCCGAAACATTGTAATAAATATGGTGACAAAGATAAGGACAATATCCGAATCATGTAAATAATGTACATAATACCTCATCTCACAAATATAGGTTTATCAAACATTTGCAGGTTATTTAAATCAAGAAAATATTCCAGATTTTAAGAACTTTTGTGAGGTGTCGGAGATAATAATGATTTATTGACAAATCGTACTAATTAAACCATAGCTGGGGGAAAAGTAGTGGAGTCATACCTTTCTCAAGTGTATTTGCGCGTAACTGAATATAACGAACCTAACGGAAATTGGAACTCGGCTCTCCGATTAACAATTCCGAGGCATCATCGATTACACCTTCCTCACATCCAAGCTTTCAGCACCTGGTATTCTAAATCGATCACCCATCCCGGCACTGATGAGGCTCGACGTTACTTATCTTTGGTGGTCGTACGGGTTCCGCTTGCTTAATTTGATGTAGTCGTAAGCCTAAAACTCCGGCTTTTCGAACTTTGATATGTGATATCTGACCAGGCGTTCAAATGCGCAGCGTCCCTACGACCACATGCGGTTATGGGACTGATGCGTTATAGGACTCTTAAGAACACTATCATAAATTCAAGAAACTGAAAACTAATTAAGATATTCTTCAACTTACAAAGTTTTTTTTTAAAGTTAGTAACTAAGGTACAATCCTATGTATAAAATCGACTCATCTCGATCTCCGGAGCGGAACCAAAGCGTAGTATCTGTTCTCACCATTTAAAATGATAGAAGGCCCCTGGTCCTGGGGATTCCAACTCTGCTGCAGCAACATCTATTTTGCAATAAAAGAGATTGTGTCGGTGTGATACAGTAACAGTTACTTTTAAAGCAAAAAATGGCAAGAAAATATTTGGTTTTTAGCAAAATCTTTCATTTGGTTAATTTTAAAACACATCCAAAAAGGATTAAGAAATATTTACTTTTGAACAGAAAATCTTATTTGGCTACGTGCAAGAAATTGATAACAAATTGGTTTTATATATATTTTATTTGGTTATTTTAAATTACATCTAAAAATGTTTTGAAAGATATTTGGTTTTAAATATTTCTTTGATCCTTTTGAAGTATATGCCAAAAAACGTTACACAATTATTTCAGTGTAAATAAAATAGGTTCATTTTAAAGAACATACAAGATAGCAAAAAACTAGTCGCTTTTATTTCATTTGTCCATTTGTATAACATGTACAAAAATTATAGAAATTATGGTCGTAATTATCGTAATTGAATTAAGTCGGCTCCCCGTGAGAGATTATTACCTGTAGAATAAGATTTTCGCCTACAATAACACGATTATAAAGCCATGCCAAATTCACTATAATTGAAAAAATAAAAAAAGACAGAAAATATAACATTAAAAAAATTCTAGAAAACCATGAAGACAAATGGATCTTGCGCCTCAAAACTCTCCATCCCTACGTGCTTAATCCCAAATTTAACAACATAGATAAAATTAATATATGACCGCATAAATCAAGTCCTACCCACATTTCTCTCCCACACAAGATTGATATGCTTGCGAAGGTGTTGAGGTCTCACACTTATACATACGCCCATACTAATATATACACTTACACACTCCCAAAAACTAACTGATAAGATACACTTAGCGCAAGCATATCCCCTTCCCAGGAACCAATAAAACTGTCTAAATGACCAAGGGAATTCAGAGTTACATGAATCTATCCTGCCTCTATCTTAAAACAACTTACAAAAGGCCGTTTGACCAACACGAGGGCTGTTCAAAATTAACGTTAAGAAAAAGATGAAAACTACAGTTAAAGTTCATTTTCTTCAGAAATTCATTCATTCTTGTAGTTCACTGCTACTAAAAATCAGGATTTTTTTTCTCCTGATGATGGCCATACTGGCCAAAACTAGTCGGAGAACCAGATTGAAATAATAAAACAAAAAAATGCTAATATACAGCCCAGTGTGTTTGAAAATTTTAATATTTTAATTTTTCAATATTTTCTATTGTTCAATATATATATATATATATATATATATTTGATTTGCTTATTCCTTTTTATGTATATACAAGTGCTTGATTTTAATAATTTTAAAACCCTTTTTTTCTTTTCCATCAAGGTGACCCGTTTTAAATGCTTGGAGGCCAGCAAAAGGGCCGTAGCAACGAAAGTGATGGGAATTCAAGAAGAATTTTTCCAATAGTGCATTGAATCGTGACAGAGAGCGATGGAAATGTGGATTAGACTCGAGGGGATTACTTTGAAGGGGAAACCATGTAGTTTGTTGTTTGGAATTTAAATAAATTGTTTCTGACACCAGTCCCGTTACTTTCAGACAAACCTCCCATATATTTATATATATATATATATATATATATATATATATATATATATATATATATATATATATATTAAGACATTTTTATTTTTATGTTTATACGTTCTTTTTATAGATACAAATATTCAAGTAAATGCTCTGTTTATAATAAACCGCTTGAGCCGCAGAGGATCGTTCGGTTAACAAGGTCGATTTTACTTCTTTTAAACTACAATCTTCCAATCGGTTAAGGCTATATGACGGTTCTGTATAGGATACAGGTTCGATTCCTGTTGGAGGACGAATATTTTCTATGGAAATTTCTCGGACATTCAGGCCGGTAAATGTTATTAATACTGTTTATTATAAACAGAGCATTTACTTAAATATTTTTATCTATAAAAAGAATGTATAAACATAAAAATGTCTTAAAATAATTGTCGGCCTTTGTCCATTTCATAATATCAATTTAACGTTATTTTTAATGGATAGCCATATTTGAGTTGACGCATTTCGCAGATCGATCCTCTGTTCAAATATTGGTAGCCTCTAAAATAACATTTTAAAATGAAAATCTCACAGATTAATAAATAAAATCCATTACTGATTTACGTCGGATCTAATGGTGGTTTCTTTTGCAAACCGGGACTCATCTGTTAGGATCTCAGCTGTCAGAAAATAGGGAGTCCTTGCAAAGAAAAATCACTTTGAAAGCATAAAAATACATTTATTAGTAAATATACCATCAATACATTTTTATATGAAAAATATAACGACAACAGAAATTCATGTTACAATTACCAAAATACATTTTTAAGGTTAAATAACCGGCACTATATTTTATCTCTTGTTTAATGCATACAATTGCGTTCAAAATATATCTAGTTGACACCATAAAATTGTGTTTGAAATATTTAGATTTCGGCATTAAATAACCCAGAGAGATTGATATGCCGCTAAACAAAATCAACCACTTTCATGACATTAATCTATATAACATCTTAAAATTTCTTAAAGAAATCAAACTGTATTCCTAAGTATAACTTCAGAAAAACCTACAACATAAAACACACATATCAGCGCCTCTGGTAATCATGTCCACACAAACAAGCATATGCACAAAAGCTGAGTATCATCTACCATGTATTCAATTGTGAAAGCAGAATAACGTGTTACATGCGCCATCTGTTTCTTATGTTTTTTACTGCTTTTGGAAGTTTTCAAGGGATGCAGCGTGTTTGGCAAAGATCTTTGTTTGCGATCGTCTTTGTAAACTGATGAGGGACAACATTCTTTAAGACGAAGGAAGACAATTCATCTGAAACGTCGTTTAGTAAGTCAGAGAAAAGATGACTGATGATAGAATATAGTTACGTTGGATTTACATTAATAAAATATTTCGTTAAAATATTCTGAAAATTGTTGTATGAATCAGTTGTGCTTGTTTTTTTTTTGTTTTTTTTTTCATAGATTCATATTGAAAGCTTCTTGTAACTACGTAGCTGAGTATAAACTTGCTTATAAAACAGAGACTTGTAAATTTACTTGGCTAGAAAAGAGTAGAATTACAATTTAATGTGTAAATTTATAAAATACAGAAGAAAATGTTTATCGAAATGAGTAGCAGAATGAGGTGGGATGTTTGAGGAGGAATTTAAGGAGGTAGAACAAAAAGGAATGACAGAATAAGAGAATAATTGAAATAAAACGCAGGATACGAATGAGAATTAAAAACAGAACGAGGAAAGAGATGGAGAAAAAAAATCAAGATGAAAGAAAGGAGAGAGTTAAAGGAAAACAAACGAGACATATTAAATGAAGAAGAAGAAAAAATTAGGAAAAAGAGGAAGACGAATAGAAAAAGGGAGGGCTGCGGAGGAAGAAAAACTGAAGAGGAGGATCAGGTAGAAAAAGAAATGGAAGAAATCAAGATGGGGGAAGAAGATAGAGGATCAGAAGGAAGAGGAAGAAGGGCGAGGAGGAGGAGGGGAAAAGAGGAGGAAAAAGAGGAAGACGAATACAAGAAGGAAAAAAGAAAAGGAGAGGATCTTAAGAGAGACGCGGAGGATAAAACTGAAGAGGAGGAGCAGGTAGAAAAGTGGAAGAAAACAAGATTTAAAAAGAGGGTGGAAGATGATAGAGGAGCAGAAAGAAGAAGAAGTAGTAGTAGCAGTATTTGTTGTTGTTGTTGTTCAGGAGAAAGGGGAAGAAGATGATGAAGAGATGGTAGAAGAGGAGGAGGAAGAAGGAGGGGAAGCGATGTTAAAGTGGGGCAAAAAACTACAGAGGTGGAGATGAAAGAAGAACAGGAGGGGAGAAGGAAAGGCGTAATAGTAGGAAGAAGAGAAGTAAAAAGGGAGAGAAGAAGAAGAAGAGGAGGAGGAGGAGACAGGATGCAGAAAGAACGACGAAAAGAAACAAAAATTATGAATCGGGCATATTTGAATGGAAACGCAAGGAAGCAGAAAAATAAGAGGGAAAAATGAAAGTAAAAATGAAATGTCATATTTGTTTAAGCTTAAAAAATAAAAAAATCAACCGAGTAGACATTTTTCTTCTAAATTTAATTCCTCTTCCTTTAAAATGCTATCAGGAAATTTGTACATGAACACAAACTGTTTTTTTATTAGTATTATTATCTTACATTCATATTTGGGAAACGTCTAAGAAATAGGAGAGTTATTTTTTAACTACATTGAAACATAGCAACAACCTATTAACCCTCTTGCTATCGATAGATCGATTTTGAACTCATATATTTCTGTTTAGCGTTCGAGTAATTTTGATCATCAAATGAAGAAACATTTAACAGTGAGAAAATAGAACATGTCTTCATGTAGTGTGTTAATCACTTGTGGATTTTTTGTTGTTTATTTTTATATTTCTATTGAAGTTGAAGCATTTTTTTTTCAGTGAATTATTTAAACAAGAAATTAAAAAAAAATGTTATTAAACAAAAAACAGAACACACCTATATTTTCGAAAAACTATTTCGTAAAATTAGCCTAGATATAAGCTCTCCCTGACACCGGATATAAACATTGTTACAACATCTTTTGACACTCAGAGCCGAAAGATAAAAAAAAGAAGGTAAAAGAAATAATGAGAAAGTATAAGAAGACAAAAAAATATGTGCATACATACACACGCACACACATACACAGCCACACACGCACAGACATCCACATCCACTCACGCCCACACATACACATACACACACGCCCACACATACACATCTACTCACGCCCACACATACACATACACACACGCACACACATACACATCCACTCACGCACACACATACACATCCGCACACGCACACACATACACATACACTCACGCCCACGCATACACATCCACACACGCCCACACATACACATACACACACGCCCACACATACACATCCACACACGCACACACATCCACATCCACACACGCGTACAAAGAATAAAAATCAACCTAACACTAATACAAAGTGTATATTAAAAAAAAAAGAAAAACTTAATATAAAAATGACGAAAACGAGAAAATTGACATTGCTGATATCTCCTGACGAGTGGACCGAACAATTGCAGAAAGGTTCGTCTCCGAAATTCTGGAGTAGAGCTTCAAAATATAACATCAATTAGCTAAGTTGCAAATGCTATATTTGTATCAATCATATATATATATATATATATATATATATATATGTGTGTGTGTGTGTGTGTGTGTGTGTGTGTGTGTGTGTGTGTGTGTGTGTGTGTGTAATCTGGCATCACCCTAGCTGGCCGTCCAAAACTTCCAACACCGCCGCTGATCGATGAAGATCGCTTCAGTCTCAGACCTGCCTTATCCCACGTTGGGATTTAAGTTTGATCATAAGGAGGCCAAGACGGAATCGTCGCAGATATCTTCGTGCTGGGCTGGACCAAGCAGGGCGATGACGTACAGAGAAGAAAAAAATAACCCTCGAATAAACTGAACAAAAGTAAATACTGTTTTGATAACAGTCCTCCGTACAATAATTGGTTATAACAGAGTTCGCATGCAATTAATTATCAGCCCAGCCCGCATCTAAATTGGAAATGATACTATCGTCGACCTGGCAAAAATCTGGTTTGTTGTTGCTGGTAAAGTTAGGCTAAAGTCGGACGCTTCTCTTATCTCTTCTGCCTCTGTGTCTGTCTTTTCTGCATCTCTCTTCTGGCGAATTCGCTTCGCGCATTCGTATTTATGGACAAAATTTCTCCCAATCTCTCCTATCATTATATCTCACTAAATCTACCCATTTAGCGTGGGTGTCTTATCCATCTCCACTGTCTCGAATCACATTCGATCAGGAGAATCGACTTCAAATTCGTGGTTTACAAAAAGAAATTTTCGCTTTACAGATTGCATTTGCAGCTGTGTATCAATCCACATTGCCACTTAAGTCTGAGTCGTTTTCCATTGTTCAAACTGATCGACATACAGTTCAAGTCGTTCATGTGTGAATTAAATCCTCAATTCTTCTCATGGGTTTTTGGTATTAACCCTTCTCGTTTCAATGTCTCTCAGTACATAACATTTTCTTATGTTTTAACAAAATTTCTTTCCGTTTTACCGCAGCACGTACAAACACACACACACACACACACACACACACACATATATATATATATATATATATATATATATATATATATATATATATAAAATGGATTAAGTTCGACAATTATTTAATATAGTTTTTGTTTATACTTTATTTTTATAGATATAATTTAAGTGAAAGGTCTGTTTTTAATTAAACAATATTACATTTATTAGCCTGAATATTCGAGAAATTTCGTAGAAAATATTATATATATATATATATATATATATATATATATAATTAAGTTATGAAGAATTTGGTAAACCGAATTGGTAAATCCAAGGAGGATGAAATCCTGAGAGCTCAATGTGAAGAACAGAGCTAATATTTAATGAAAAACAGACCACTTTAAGGTACCATTACAATAATTTATTTCACCAAAATCCTTTTTAAAGGATTTTGGATCATCAAGTAACACTTCCAACAATGAAATGAGAGGAAAAATGTGATTAATTATATATATATATATATATATATATATATATATATATATATATATTTCCGTACCGGTAGCACGATTTCACGAGCTAAGTTAAACTAACTCAGCACCTGAAGATTGCGTTGTACATGAAACCCAGAGACGTGCAACCGGAGAGGAAAAATCTACATGTATGGTTCCATCGCTACACAGGAGTTACCATGATTCAAAAACAGAAACTAAAAACTTCAAATTCAATTATATAATTAAATTACATTCAATTACATAATTAAATTACAATAACTGAATTTGAAGTTTAATTATAAAATAAAAGTAATTGAATTTGAAGTTTTTAGTTTCCGTTTTTGAAACATGGTAATTCCTGTGTAGCGATAGAACCATATTTTTAAATCAGTTAATTTATAATATTTATGCCCTGTAAATTTGCATTGAGCACAGTTTTGTAAAAATAAAACTATTAATAAGAACACCGGATTATATAACTTACTGTTCTTTCTTTTATTATATATATATATATATATATATATATATATATATATATATATATATATATATATAAATATATATATAAACATATATACATACATACATACATACATGTACATATAAAAATTACCAATAGGATAGAATCCAGGGAGAACTCAATGTCCAGGACAGCGTAAGAATATAATAAAAAGACTTAAACACTAATATTCAATGGTTATAATTTTTACATTGGAATCGTAAATACAATCCAATTCATCAGACCTACAAATTCCAAAATAATAATTATTTTTTTTATATATAGAGAGAGAGTTTATGAAAAACTAGGTAATCCGTATGGGTAGACACAAGGAGGATAATATATATATATATACCGTCATCCACAGACAGACTGTTTCGCTGTTTCACAGCTCATCAGTGTGGCTAGACATCCGGTTGCCTCTAACTAGGATCGAAACTGGTGAGAGTCGGAGATTCTAACCATTAAGCCATCGGCGCACGGTAGAGAGGAAAGTGGATTTTTAGCGTGTTTATAAAAATAACCAGTGACCGGGAGTGACTCAATTCGCATTAGCGAAGAGTCTCGCTATATAGCTATATTCAAACATATATTGTTAAATATAACAGGCAAGGAATGTCTACTACGTTTGATCATGAGCCGTTCTAAGCTTCATATTGTGGCTTGAGTTTCGTTAGAAAATAAAGACAGAAACCAGTCCAACATTTGGATATTTTTTATTATTCTGTTCCTCGATCTAAGCTTTCGGCTCACATGAGCCAGAAGGGTTATATGGACATTACAACAGAGATGTACACCATCAAAAATGACATCCTGTTATGTTTATATAGAAGTTTGCTATGCAACGATAACGGTTGTGAGATAACAGATGCAGGCCATACATTCGTAATGCGTCCCTATGACGTCGTACATGACTACGTTAGAGAAAGAAATGTTATCAACAAAACCAGGTGTTTAAATGCATTCTAATATGTTGTGACTGGTTTGAAATTTTGGATTTAATTTCTTTTTCTATTACACTAGACTTGCTATAACCGATGCGTTCGAATGATATATATATATATATATATATATATATATATATATATATATATATATATATATATATAAAAAGTGAACATTGGAGTCAACACTTAGAGACGACAGCCTGTTTCATGCTAGACAGAGTCGTCAGGCCGCCTGACGATTGGGTCCAGCATGAAACAGACTGTCACCTCTAAGTGTTGACTTCAATGTTCACTTTTATATTTACACACGCTCTATCTCTGATATTGAGCACTTTATCCCATAAATATATAACACCTTAAGACTATATTTCTTTATATATATATATATATATTTCGATAAACATTCTTTATAGCCAAGTATATTTAGAGATCTCTCTTTTATAAGCATACAACAACGTAGTTACAGGAAGCTTTCAATATCCAGCGATGAACACAAAAAAAAACGTTTGAATATCGAACCAAACCCTTTATTTGGTCCTCTGGTGTACATTGTCTTCGCTCCAAGTGCCTCGCCTTTTCTGGATATTCCAGATTCAATTATTTCCTCTTGGTAACTCAACTTGCCAGGTTTTTGTTCACCTCAGCTGTGGCCAGGTATTAAACTCACAACTCTTTGGGTCAATTCTCTGGATTACCTCAACGAACTCTTTTATCACATGAGCCATGTGTCCTAAGTGAACTAAATAAAGGGTTCGTTTCGAAATAACAACGTACATTGCCTGATGAAGGCCGGGACAGAAACGTCGTGAATATGACAATATGTAAATAGTGTAACTGGCAAAAAAAATCTGTTATGTTTTTAATCGATAACAACGCGAACAGTTCGATCAATGAATGTTGAATGTCTCCTGTAAGAAAACGTTTAAGTTCACCTTTAACATAACTATATATTGTTAGGATTCTGCTGTGCATCCATGGTGCTTTTAACATAAACTCTCAATCA